AAGAGTATATATATATAAAGAAAGAGTTTTTTATATATATATATATATATATATATGTATGTATGTATGTATGTATGTATGTATGTATAAAGAATTCATGACAGACTTGCCTAAGGGATAAGCAAAAAGAAAAACAAGAAAAATTCTAGGATAGAATCCAAAATATGTTATTCAGATACTGAATTTCTGGGTGTAAATATGTATAATAGAAGAACAAACCAAAATAACCCAAATGCGAGTTCTTAATTTGTTCTGTTAACATATTTATATCCTGAATGGAGTTTTCGCATAAGCAAAATAGAACTGTTCAGGAAAAAGTTAATAGAAAAGGCAAGCAAAATTATGTGACATGGAATCTTACGCACTGAAGAACAGATTCCTAGTACAGCAACAACTCTTTTGGCACAGTGAATAACCAATGTGTTATTCAGAATTTAACCAAGACAAGGCAAATAGGAAAGAAATACTTTGTTGAAATGAAAAGATAGTCAGTTCCCAGTTCTACTGGAAGGAAATGTTAGGCAGTTACCTAATTTGGAAAATATAATGCAATATTTTTAAAATCATACTTCACAAAAAGGAAAAATGAATGTGAACCAAATGTTTCAATGCAAGCAAGCTTGACATCAATGTTGCGTGTGTATATTCTTTTATCATCTAATAACATTACAACTGAGGCTTCTGTAAGAGCTTGGCTAAATAATGACATTTTTGAAGATTGGAAGATTTCTGTATGTAGAGAAATAGGCAACAGACTAATTTGTTTAAAAATAAGCAGTGGATAAAATGCCAGAAATCCTATGAAAAGCTCCCAAAATTTACATAGAAGTAGCAATAATTCTTTTCATGAGATATCTTACTTAATCTATGGAGTCTTATTTCTGGCAAGGGGTATAACTGAAACCAGTGGGACTCTGCATGGTCAGTGAGTGAACAGATCATTCCTTGGTCAAGCCTGGAATGTTTACTGAGATTTTACAGCTAGGTACGGAGACTTACAACTCTATGAAGAGTCTTCAGACTTGAAGTTTTACTAGTCAGACAACACTATTACATACAGATGATGAACTGTGTGCAATTTTTGATTACCTAGCCAATCAGAGTTATTAGTTTGCTACATTCATAGGTCAGGTCGTGGTTTCTCTGTATACGGTCGTTCACTCTTGTGATTTGATGAGATTATAAATTGCAGAAAAACTTAATTCTGGATTTGCCAATATGCATATAAGGTAGTATAAGAAATAATAAGGAACAATGCAATGAAGTGAAAAAGGATTTACATCACTGCTATTTTGAATAAGTGGGCAACAAATCCAAAATATAGTTCAATAAGGAAACGTGAGCCAGTATATTACTGAATGAAGAGGAGAGCTCTAACACAGACAGACATGAAATTCTGAGCAGAACAGCACATTGATAATTCATTGACCAAGAAATTACAGGCAGGCTTAATAAAGAAACAATCTTAAAATCACCAGTGTTATTAGCACAAAGCTGAGTATGATATTAGAATAAAAACCGGGGACAAAATCCAAATGAAAGAAAGTCAGTTCTAAATACCGTAATCAGGTTTTTACTAGAAGACTTATCCATTGTTCCAAAAGAAGGATATAAAATATGCATTGCAGACTTACTGGTAATTACTGGAATAGATGGATTTTATATGTGTACAGATTTGTCTATTCCAGCTTCACAGCTCGGCTGCCATATACTGTAAGCCAATTTCTGCAGTCTTTATGTTTTATCACGCAGATATTGTTATTCGAGTCTGTGACTGGGAGTGTTCAGTTATTTTTGACTCAAATAGCCAGTAGACTGTAGGAAAATGTTAATGCTATTTATCAATGTATATTCAGAAAAGTGCTGCATTTTTATGCAGTCTTGAGTTTGATGATCAGTAGACAACGCGGGTGAAATATCTGAAGTGCTGAACACATGGCTCAGGAAACAAAAAATGATGAAAGTACACTATATTGAGGATAAAGTTGCTTAAAATTAAAATAAAAGTTCACAGTCACAGCAGGATGCAGTTCATAACCAAGAATGTGAAAATTCTGTTGGAAATAATTTTACAGACAAATTTTGGATCTGATTCATTATTGGACTGTCCCAGTCTTTCACCATTGCTTAACTCTGTTCAGCTATGTCTCATTCTTGTAGATCTCAGTGCAAGATGGGGCCTTATTTATTTAGTTGTTTAACATAGCTAGTTGTTTTACATATGCAGTTTGGCAACAACAAAGAAATAATAACTTTAGGCAGGAAGCTTTAAGACAATTTAGGAGAACAAAAGGATGGCTCATGGTCCAAAATTACAAATGGAGTGATCAAACTGAAGTAATAAGTGACTCAGCTTGCCAAGGATATCATGCATATTCCCTTATCAGCATTTGTGAAAATGTAGCATAATTGCTTTAATACTGAAATACAGAACAGTATGGTTATTTGAGAATATCAATAACATGAAACAGAAAATTTTGGTATAAGAGATGAAAAGCAAGAGTAGCAGAGGTATCTTTTTTTACCCTAAGCAAGTTGTAACATTTATGTGTAATTCTTACATGACTGAGGATTATGATTCTGACATAATGAAATAATTAGATATATTTATCGAGTTTGATATGACATGATTTGTATTAGATTACTTGCACACCTAAATTTTAGGCATGTACTTATTTGATTACAAAGTGCATTGAAAATATTAGCAACTCAACTCCTTTATTAAAGTAGCAAGAAGGCTATGAATCAAAGTTGTGAAACATATAAAAATAAAACATGCGTCTGTCTCTAGACTTCCCTAAATAGAGACGATTACTTAAAATTATTCCTTTTTTTCCTTCTACTGTAAGAATTCTGAAGATGTCTACAATGGTAAAATTAACCTATCCCACAAGTAACTCATAGACTTAAAAACTTTCATGTTCAGCTGGCAAAGCAATGTAAGTATATACCACATACACATCATAATTTTGGTTCTGTATTTAGTTCACATCCCCTGGGTCTTTGATAATTTGCTTGTGAGGAATTTGGTCTTGACAAAATCAGTAATTCTAATATGTTATGATTCACCCTCGTTTCATACATTTACAATGACTATAACTCTATTTATGATTCATTCCCTTTTGACCTTTAATCACATTTAAAACAGATATTTAGACTACCAGCAAGCATAATTACACAAAAGTGACAGCTGTTTCATCTTGAAGCAGGGACTTGAATCTCTTCATGGCAGCATCTTCTGTTTACTTTCCATGTGAAAAACTATTTTTCATGGCTTTTCATGAAGCCATGAAAATAAATCTTATCTTTAATTTACAAGAGAAAATCCTACAGATTCATAATTTATACTACTAGAAATCAGTGGCAACTGGCAGTTAGCATTTTTTTTCAATCAGTCTTGGGACAAGTACTATGTTAGAAAATCAACCAGTTTCATACTGGGGTAGTAACAAAACGCTGCAGAAAAAATAACAACTTAGGAAGCAACAAAGGAAAGGAAAATAGGAGGGTATGCTGTCCAAAGAAATACTCACAAAATGCAACTACAGCAACCTGTCCGAATGGAATACAACTTTAAGTATGTAACACCTGCACTCTGAACCTCTTTCTGGAAATGTCTATTTCTCTCTGTTAGTTACAGAGGAAAATCAGACACTGAATTTAAGTGATATGAATGATGTCTAAATTAATTAACATGGATAGTATAATTGCATCCTTGACCAACATTCTCTTTCATGGATAATAACAATTTTTAATATTTGTGAAATATTATATTGTTTTATACATTGCACAATATTTCTATCAAATTAACTTAATGACAAATACAATACAAGATACTAGGACTTGTTTCCTTTCAAAACCTAACATGAAACTCCATAAATACATCATCATTACGTTAGCTCTGAGATAGCAAAGCAGATCTCTCCTCTGGAAGGCAAGAAGGAGAAGCAAAAGGCTATATACCTCTGTGTTAGGGAGATCAGTGTTAGACAGAAACTGAAAAAAAAAAAAAAAACCAACCTGATCAAGAATACCTAAAGTTAAGGTCAAATCTCTCCACCATTACCTTTCCTGTACCATAGACTCAGCTTAATGTGGTCATTTCAGGTACTTCAGATATTTACAGGAAAAAAAAAGTCTCAGAAATTGTAAGCAAGAGGATTGCTATTTTATATTCCGGCATAATTTCTAGTACCATAATGTAAGGAAGAAATTAAAGCTACAGAGTGTTATAAAACAGAATACATAAGAACAGAGCCAAGGTATGTCATAAAAAATGATGAGAATAAAGGTGTTGGAAGACCATCATATAAGACTTTGTCTGTCCTATCAGTGGTTGAATAAATTTTTAATGCATCTGAAAAAAAGACAATGAAGATAGTATTAAAGTACTCCTACACAGCCATGTGTATTTTCAATGACATTCATTTGACATGTATTCATAGCAAGATCCAAGTGCCTGATCTGAGGATTTACAGTGAGCTTTCTACACGATATGTATATACAATTTACTTGATCATTTTTAAGAACTGAAATCCATGCACCTTTAAGGAAAGGAAAGTGAGAAACCAAAGTAAGTGAAAATAGGCTTAAAAGACAACTGACCTTTTTCCACCTCATTCAGATTAGCAGCTTGCAGTGACAAAGACAGAAGAGACAAGAGACTTTTTACATTGTAATACAACAGCATAGCACATTAAGCTAATGCACAACTATAGCAGCAGAGAGGTTGACATAGCAAAATGAAGCAAGCTTCAGAGTTTCACCTACAGCAGAGCAAAACAAACAGAAAAGATAAGAAGTACATGTCGCTGCTGGCATAAGAAAGGTTTTACTTTTGGATCAGTTAGATCTGTGATCTAAATGACTGATGGTAACGAGCAAGAGAAATGGTCATCTGTAATCTATAGAATGTACACATAATGACCTGACATTTACTGGACTGTGGTTAAAATAAAGGAGATGGTAATGTTAAGAGAATAGCAAGGTTAAAGAGTGCAGGACATAGTGAGGTATTTCAGATGTTTTATTTCTCAAGGTTTCATTTCTGAACGTCCACTGATCCCATACGCTTACAGCTGATTTCACAGTTGAGGTCTGAGACCTTAAGAAAGCTCACAGTATAGTGCACATACCATTCTGTCCTTCCAACTATAATTGGGGAAGTAATCATAAAACTTAACCGAATCATAGAAAAATGGATTACTGCTACTTAAACAATAACATAAGCCAACAGTCTTTTTATTTGTTTGTTTTTCAATTAATACTACTTATTTGAGAAAAGTGTCAGTTTTCAAGGGATTGTTAGAAAAGGCAAAACATGACTGCTTGGTTTTGCCCTATAATATTCTTTATCGTATTCTTTTTTATTTTCATATTTGTATTTTCAGAGGTAATCTGAGATTCAAGCAAGCCCTCAACATATAAATAAAACTTTAAAGAAGAATGATTTACATTTCATATCAGCAGCTTCTTCCTTATCTTGTGCTACTAAAAAGCAAAGTCTATTTGCAGACAACCATTCACCCAGAAAAATATTCTAGGCTGGTGCATTTCTACTTTCAGCAGATGTGCACTGCGACATCTTGAAACCAGACAATTCGAAGTGTTGCCAACAGATTTAAAAGCAAATAGGACAAGCCTGTAGTGATATTTTCCTGGTACGTACACCATCCCAGCCCCCAGCAACTTACGGCTCAGGGACTGGCACCTTCTAAGCTAGAGATAGTATCTTTGTATTTAAAAATCTTTTTACTTACTGTATATACACTCAGTTTTCCTGATGATTAACTTATTTTTGCTTAGCTAGTACAGGAATTCATTAAGTGAAAAATACCTTGCATTAAAAAAAACACATTAGCAATATGTATATCTCATTTCAACCTCTTATAACACATACTGAAATCCAAAGGTTTAAGAGGTTCCTTATGAAAATCAACTTACCTATACTAACTAGATCGAGACTCAGTTACTTATCTTTCAAATCAGGCTACAGGACAGAGAAAAATTTTATCTAAGTAATTTGGTACCTCATAACACAGTTGAGGCAACTGTAAGATTATTTTACATTCTGAACACTACCATTTCTAGATCCTGATGCATCCAGACTGCTGGCAGTCTAAATCTACAACACTGAAAGTTTTTTTAATTATTACACAAGATCAAGGATGGTAGGATGTGAAGACCTCCGGACTAGCTTGATATTTTATACTCTCTCCTACAACTAATCTCAAGACTGAGCTTAGATCTCACTATTGTGCACTGTCCTCAGACGTTTTGTAAGACAGCTAGTCTACTGTGGAATTCTGTACTGTATCCTATAGAACCAAAAACTAGAATTTTTTCTATAAATTATGCATCAATTTACCTATAAAATAAATTGAGGCTCTGCTGTCATATGTTTAGAAAAATGTGTGTATTTGTTTATGGTGAGGTGTAGAAAAAATGTGATGAGATTTTAAAATCTCAATTTTTTTTGAAAAAAGTACAGGTAAAATTACTGATTGTAAGCAGATTGTTTCGATTTATTTTAGAGCTGCTGAGAAGATTCTCACCTACTCACATGACCTATTGACTTCAGTACTGATTACCACTATGCACTGCATCTATAAAAGCAAATCTTTTTTCTTTTTAATGTAGTTTGCAAACAAAAACTTGCCAAGGAAAACCATATTTTCCTTTGGGAATTATGCACAAGCTATTCAACAACAAAAGCAGAATCTTCAAAGAAACGTAGCTGCCATTTCCTTAGTTACCAGTCCAATTAAACTTTTTTTGTATTTTGACTGGAAAACCACAGCTGTAATACAAACATTAAAATAAAAATGTTACCAAGGTTTATACTCTTTTCTTTTGCTCTAATCAGATACATACATAGAGAAATGCTACAATTACTGTTTCAATTGAATATGTAAAATGTTAATTTCAATTAAAAAGATACCAAAATGCAACAGACATACATAACATTTTTAGGGTCGTGCATACAAACAATCCTTTGCGTCCACTCCAATGGATATTTAATACAAAACAGTCCTTCCCATAGGATGTTACGAATACAGCAAGCTATCGACTACAGCAGTCCAAATATAATTAGAGAAATGTAAAAAACTAAGAAATGGACAACTTGGGCAAAAGACTGCAAAGCTGCTGAGGAGGAATGCATGTGCAAATGAATTGTCTACTATTTAATAGGCAGATGGAACCCGTTAGCGTAAAACCTCTAACCAGGAAAACTGGACTGAAGTGACTTGGTTTGCTTTCTTCCAGCCTACCTGGTAGAGTATCTGATCACATTTTCAAAGGAGATAGCCTGGAGGAGCTAAAGCTTGATTCAGATACGGTTGAAATATTAATTATAGGGACAAATATATCTCTGGACATATTGATGGTCCTACCTATTACTTTTTTCTAACGCTTGAACTCTCAATTGCTTTAGATATTAAGGCATCAGTATCTAGCAAAAGGTATCCCACCTAAGCAGAATACTGTTTATTCTTCCAGATATAGACCATCCAGTTATTCTTATATATCTTATTTCGGCTGCTTTTAACCTGTACTGCTTTAGTTACTGTCACTTGTTCTGCATGGGGACTCTCCTCCAAATATTTACCCAGCCCAGGTACTGGATGAACACATGTATTTTAATTGATATTTCTTATACCAACGTTTTAAGATCTCCACTCACCGTGTGTTCCCAAGATTTAAACACTGACTTTAAATTTGTGCATCCTAAATCATTCGAGCAATCCAGTATGCTGGAGAACTAATGACAGTAATACCCTGGCTTAAATCGCAGTTAGCTCTGTTTTCATTAAATGAAATTACCATGAGAGTTCACCTCCTCCCAGCTTTACTGAACTCAAATTTAGTGTTCCCTGAGGACAGTGAAAACCTCACCTGCCAGGGGCAATAGGGCTGATTACAGTGAAGATACAGGATGGTTGGGTAGAATTCATTCCTGGGCTTTGGTCTGGCCTCCAACTGACACAAATGAACAATTACACACACTCTCATACCTTTTTTGTGTGCATTAGAGCAGAAAACATCACACTCCACATTAATGTTTCTAAGAGAGGGTGGGACACTACCCGGGGATGCCACATCCAGTTGCCTTCTAGCAGAGAAGAATCCTTCTCTGCTCCGCTAGTAAATTGAACAATAGAGGATAAGAGTGGAATACTTAACGTCTAGATTCCTAAGCTGCAAGGGCTCTTCATTGGGCTTTCAGGGTTAGGTAAGCAGTGGTGAGGGACACATTTTGAAAGACTTTTTAAATAACAAAATGCTAAAGTTTCAAAACTAACAAAGGAACGAGCATTACGGAATAATATAATAGGAACATGGAGGGAAATCTAGCTTCAAGTCAATTGCAGAACTGCCATTAATTTACCTACAAACTGAAAAATATTACTATTGTTTTACTAGGAATATTCTTGAATTACTTGTACTTTCCCTTATACTCCTACCTGTATATTCAGGCGGACAAAGGCAGGTATAGTTATTAATTCCATCCACACAAGTAGAATTGTTTTCACAGTCATTGTCTTCACAGTCATCAACATTAACTTCACAGTTTTCACCTTCAAATCCATCTGCACAAGTGCACCTGTAATACAGAAAATAAAACTGACTACAAGGACAATTTAGCTAGGGAGATCAGACAAGAAGATCTGTAATTAATAGGTACATTAATTAGTAATCATTATCCCGTAGGTAACATGGCTAGTATGTTGTAAAAATATATATGAATATTACCAAAATATTTTTATGTTAAAAAACCAAACCAAAACAGAAAAGGTGTCTAAATTTGTGCTTTAATTCTTATTTTAAGGAGCTTCTTAAATTAAACCACTAAGCATTTCTTCTTCTAGCGTGAAATGCATACCACTTTTATATTATAAGATCAGATTATATTTCGTATGGAAAATGATCATGGTAAAATTTTTCAAAGCTAAGCACATGCAAAAGACTTTACAGGATCAATGATTAGCATGTAAAACTACATTCTACTGAACTACATTCAGTTAAAATATACCATTTCAAAGCTCTCTTTAGAGTTCTATATACAATACACGTATTATTATACAATAAAGCCTACGTAAACACCTAAAAGAAGTAATTTTTTGCTTTTACATGTGCTTACAAAGTACACATACTTCAAAAAAGATAATAAATGTAAATTTCCACTCAAATATGAGCATGCACATATTTCATGTAATTTGCAGTAGCTATAATTTCTGCAACTTTGATTTTCAAGAGACTACTTTGCTTTTCAAAATATGTAGCGTTTAAGCAAATAAATGAAAAAGGTCAAATACTGTGACTGTGATTATATCCCTTTAAATTCTGGAGGCATGATATTAAGATGTATACACTTAATTTTAAATAGAAAACTATTTAATCCTCGGGCAGAATTTGGATTAAAAAATAAGAATAATGTCTTAATGAATTGCAGAATAATGAATTGTTTCTTTTTGAAGTGCCATTTCTAACAAGCTTGAGGTGCAGATTATTAAATGCCTAATAATTTCACATAAGAATGCTAAAGAACTTTATTTCATAATTCATGAAGTACATCTGGAGTAATTGTACTGTGTGATTAAATAACTCAAGATTAAAAATGCTCACAGCATGTTTCTCTGCTGGCATAGTGAGTTTGAAATGAATCATTAATTTTCTGTTTCACTGGGATTTACATTTTATCATTTACATGCTGTCTGTTGAAGTAATACACACGACAACAGATGAATTGTGAGATTTTTTCAGCAGGGATCTAGCTAGCTATTAATTAGCATAATGGAGTCAACACTATGTTGTCTTGACCTGATATGCCTCAACTAATCACAGTCGTTTGTTGTTGTTTTTAACAGTTTCAAAGCTTTAGAAGCTTTCCAAGGACAGTGACATTTTCTGAAAACTTCAGAAGCACTGAAAGTCTGCCTTGGTGGCGTGCTTACCAACAATGAACCAACCCAACAAGCTTATAAGCTTCTGGAATCCAAAGATTAATACTCAAATTATTTAAACATGTAAGACTCAACAGTTTCCTCTTCTGTTATTACAAATAAAAACAACCTACCAGAAACCATCTTTTTCGCCTTCTTTTAAATGACAAGTTCCTCCATGGTGGCAAGGGTTACTAATGCAGGCGTGAATGGGAATATCACAGTCTTGACCCTATGCACAGAACAACAGTATCAATTAAGAAAATACAGGCACTCGTAGAAGTGAGCCAGATAAAACTTCTTATAAGGGTTAAGAAGCAGAAGCTTACATTTCAGTAAGCTTTTTCCCTCCTTATTCAGTACCTACCTTGAAACCGTATGGGCATGTACATCTATAAAAGTCAACCGGATCATTGTTGCAGGTTCCATCATTTTTACATGGATTTGATAAGCAGGGATTACACTTGGCAAGAATATTAACATCCACAGGCCCTTAAAAATACAAATTTGATAGTCAGAAACAAACTGTTAATTTATACTTGATAGGATGAATCTGCCATAATGCTTTAAATTTTAAAATCGTATTTATTCTTTAGATATTGTGGCATTTTCTATATGAATTGAATGCTGGGCTGTCCTTAATTTGACATGACTAAGCAAATTTTAGGTTTGGTTTTTGGTCTTAATTATTACTTTTAAAAACCAAAGAGAAGCTCACCCTAAAGTGATTCCTGTACCTATGTTCTCTGAAATCTGTACAGTTCTGGTCCATGGATCATTATCTCTCCTTTGCATTTTAAAGGAACAATACAATTTCAGCTTTTGTTTCTTCAGGGAATAAAAATTGCTTATGAAAACAAGGTCTATCACAGTTTCCAATCTTGGTGGTGTTACTGAGAACAGTATTTTTAATGTATTTTTGGTTTAACGTAATTTTTAACTGCAGGATCACAGAGAAGCGAGGCCAAAATCAACCGGTAAAATAGTCAGCAAATTGGCTGAAGACCTAGAGCAGCCATCCCGCACTGTTGTGAACTGCATTCTCCAAGCCACCTCCTGTCTCCTGTAAGCAGCTCTACCTAGTGCCCTGCTCCCTTACAGGCTCTGCCACCGTCCTGTGCATTCCTGCACACGTTGAACCCACATATAATGCAAACTATGCTACAAATCTTTGTGTAAACAAGGTCTGCCATCCATGCTTGCAGTCACTTTTCTCATATGAACAGCAAGGAGAGTTTGATCCTGCCTTTGTCCTCATGGTTATAAGAACAGAATTTAGAAAAGTACACTCACAAAATCTTAAGTTTCACAAGCCAAACTCCTGAGAGCTTTGGCCTACATAGCTCTTATTCCTATTGTATAAATATTTATTAAATATCTATTCATTTATTTTCTGGTATTTTACAATTTTAAGGCAGCTTTTACAGGGTGAATTCTCAAGAACCATCACTTGTTAGGTTTTCTTTGTCAAATGACTGAAGAAATTGCTGGCTATTCCTTAAAAATTACAAATCATCCGCTCCTAAATAATAATTCATTTTCACAGATCTCTGTGAAAGACAAAAGATTCATCACAATAAGAGAAAACAGGCGCTGCAAAGACAATCGTCTATTAAGAAAATGGGCATACATTTCCTACTATCTCCAGCTATATTGCTTGACTACATTATCACCTCTGGCTTGCTTTCAGCTTTCATCTACGAAAACACATCATTACTTACAAAATTTAAGTACCCAGCAACCATTACTTACAAATTTTAAGGAACAACCCGTGATTTCTTCAGTAACTTGACAGAAAAGCAAACTCCTCAGGCCTGCTAGTGAAACCGTCTAATCGCTCCCTAACACTTTTTCTCCAAAGTGAGCAAAACAGTGAAGTTTTTCAAGCTACCAGGGCTCAGTTTTCCTGAGATATGCTATTTCATGCTTTTTCTTTCAGCTTGAATTTAATTTCTTTACTTATTTTTCTTCGCAGAACTAAACCCAGACACATTATTCTGAAGGAGCTAGCAGTGGAAACAAGCCATATCATTATAAGGATACGGTAGGGGTGGTAGATAGGGAGATGCTGACAAATTTTTCTTTTAATCTGCAGTTGCTGGTATCCTTCTGTGTCACAGCTTGCAAGCAATTGCAAAGAGATAAACACAGCAATCTGTGATAAGATGCTTATTGCCAAAGTCACAATCTATATGGATCATTGACTATTCTTGTACTTCACTACCTTATTTTGAAAGAAATCTATAGCTAATTAAAGTTCCTGCAGAAGTAGCAAACAACAGAGGTAGGCAAGTTGGAACAAATACCATAGAATTAACATCTGGAAAATCCTGACTGTGTACTCTAGACTATTGCTGATTATTGCTAGACTATGTCAAGAGGTTTTGTGAAGCCAATACGGAGCAAGAGGGGACATACTTAAGAAAAAATTCTTAAATTATAACACTGTGCTGCAGCCTAGAGCACTATGCTGCCTTGCCTCAACTGTTTCATCCAAAATATTAATGATTTTGTATGAATTAAACAAAAAAACAGAAACCCAGTAACTAAGGTTATTTTCCTAAATGGATTAGCAATCTACATTTCATTTCTAAATCTGAGCTAGATAATGGGGAAAAAAAGTACTAACAAGGCAGTAAACAACCTATGTCTGATTTTGTGTTTATTTGCATTTATTTTGTGTTTATTTCAAACTATGTCTACCACTATTATATTAATATTTTTAATATTTTTCTTCATCATTTTTCAGCTACAGGATTGAAACCCGGAAACGTTTCAGATATTTTTACTGAGCTCTAATGGAAAGTCACCCAGGGAACCTATTTTCACTTGTACTATATTGTTCTTTCCCGGTTTCTGCCTGCAAGTGTTAAAAGATCTGTATATGAAAAAGAATTGGGTTCAAAATCTATTATTTACTTTTTCACATGATAGACATATAAATCCTTAAATAAGTCCTAAATAAAAAAAAAAATCCTTAAAATAAAAGACAAATAAACACCGTTCTTTTGTAAATAGTAAAAAACTGTCTGTGTATCTACTTACAAATATATATATATACACACACTCACACTTGTATACTTACTACTACACTAGTAACTACTGTTTCTAAAGAAAAAAAGAATATGAACACTTGAAGCCTCTCAAAACTAGCTCCCAAAGAAACCTGCTACAAGAAAAACTTTAAACTCTGACTTGTTATGAGCCTAGAACTCCTATGATATTTATGAGAGGACCTCAAAACCAGTATCTACACTGAGTGCATACGTATGAGTACATACATATACTCATAATGCAGGTAATGAAATCACTGATCATAGTACAATGCAGTTGTAACAATCATTTCAGTTAATTTTCAACTCCAGAACTCAGGCTTTTAGAATAACAAAACTGTTCATACAATTATACTCTGCAACGTATCACGAAGAATCAGCTGTAAATTCATCCAAGAAGGGGAAAACGAACAGTAAACATGCATGTCTTAGGGAAGAAGTCTGCTGGAGGTGCACACAAGGAAGGTCAGAAGGTCTGTTCTCAATCAGAGCATCCATTCCCGATCTACTTACAACCTTACCTGGCATCAGAAAACCACAAGGCCCTGGGATCTCTAGAAGCAGGGCACGGTTTGTAAAGGGGTGAAAGTAAAAGAGTGAGAGTCTGTTAGAGGCCACATATGAAAGGAAAAAAAACCCACAAACTTAGACTAACAACTGAAGGAAGAAAATACTGAAGGATGATTCCTACAGCTTAAATTCACATGCTTCCAGTGATTTTTTGGAACTTTACAACTGAGGCGAGACTTCATACTAAAATGCTCATTTTCACATGGAACTATTCATTATCTAAGTCAAATTCAAGTATGTTTCACTTTCAATTGAATCCAGAGATACTGATAAGAGGGAGTTATACATTATTCTTTTCCTGTAAATATATACACAATAGCAGATCATCAACAGACCATACATATCCAAAGATAATATCCTCACTCATACTTTAAAAACTTGGTTCTAGTCGGAATATAGCACCTTGCTAGGAATATAGCAATTCCTATTCAATTCCAGTTCATTCTTAAGTAGAAGATAAAATTACTTATCTTTGAGTAACAGAGAGAGACATAATGTCTTACAGGGCCATCATGTCACTGAGAAGTTGGTGAGTGGCAATACGTAATTATTCTGGGCATCTTCACAGAAGGACAGTGGCAGGAAAATTATTTTCGCTCTAAGGTATCCATAATACCAGATCTCCACTCTTGGAAGTGAAACAAATACAGTTCTTACCCTGCATAATAATATAAACTAAATATAAAAGGATGTGTTCTGATGGGCAGGAGGGAGTAAGATACACTTTCTGGACTGGCTGACCAAAACATAACAATGATTGCAGGAAGGAGTGACATGATAAACTATACATTACAGTTTATTAAACTGACAGAGCTGGAAAATGACTAAACAGGTCCTTCATGTCTCTGCAAATCTTCTTTCACTTATAATCCTATAACAACAGGTAATAAAAGAGAATCTGCAGCAATGATCAGTAGATGCTTGTAGAGAAAATGACAGGGTTGGCCAGAAAATCTCCTCTCTAAAATTAGACCAGGTGACTTCTGCAAGAGTAGTATCATATGCAATGAACAACTGATATGACCTCAGAGATCTATTTTGTAAAATTACAACAATAATTTTGAAGAAAAGATAACTAATCAGCTTCACACACAACAAATGAGCTGGATTTCCAGTGGTTTTTGTTTACCGAGAATTCTGTAACAGAAAACCTAAGGCAAGAAGACTCAGCAGAATGAACATGCCAGCCAAAAACAACCTGGGATGAGAGCTGACTATGGGAGAGTTGCATGACTTTTTTGAGAAAGAATTTACAGCGGGGGTTAAGCTCACCTTTGGAGACACATTAACAGATGAATCAGTGAAAACAGCTTGCAGATTACCCAGTCTGAGAATAAGTTACTTCGACAAAACCTAAGATCATATTTAATTGATGCCTCAGAAATAAATAAAAGCTTAGTAAGAAGCATATATGTACGAGCACTTTTTGTTTTTAATTGTAGATTTCAATGCTTCTAAATCCAGGAGTCTGAAAAATGAAGTTTTCTTTGTTTTAAAATATTTAAGAGGAGAAAAACAGACAGAAAGAAAGATTAGACAGTAAAACAAATCAAGGCCTCTTTTACATACGAGTCAAAAAGACACTTTTCTAATGCCCAAAAAATAGTAAGATTCAAAAAAGTATCCAAGAATTGAACATACAATAATATGCATTGTGATAGGTGTGCCAACAACGTTAGTACTGAAAAGGAAATAAATACTCGTTTCAAATTACGAGAAACCTCTCTACATAGTAACATTTTTGAAAGAGACATCTCCAGAGTTAATCATATCCTTTATATACTTTGCATTTTCTTATGCTTTCTTCTGAAACATCAAAGGAAACAGCATTCTGGACATACTGATGCTGTTATATACCACTGAGATAATGCAGACTGCAAGGATCACAGACCTGAAAAGTTATGGATGTATTTACAATTTTTTCTGTAAACAGTCTAAGGGAAAGAACATTCTTGGGCTAAGAGAAGTGTAGATATTAGCTTTTAGTTCATGACTAAGACCGTACTATGTACCTATACATAGGCAAATGTACTTCATATTCATGTACTGAGAATACTATACTACAAATCAGAAGAATTTTTTTCCTCCATCTACTGTTTGAACAGAAATAGGTATCAAAGTCCTTAGAATAAATACAGTTCCTGAATGGAACCAATTGCTACATCCCAAAATATGAGACTGAATGATGACAAGGCAGAGCGAAGATGCTGTAATAAATGTATTTAGACCACACAGTATTTTCTTATTTCACAGCTCAACTATTCATCTGTAAAGGTTCAAGACTGGCACTTCAAAGAGGAAAAAAAAAAACCCAAATCAAAAAAACAGTACCTTGGCAAGTAAATTTTTTCGAGGGAGTTGTGAGAAGAAGTTTATCTGCCATTTCTCCAGGACCAGCACAACGTGCAATACCAGGTTCTTTGTATTCTGATTTTACCCAGTCAGAGAGCCACTGCATGTTACAATCACAATAAAGAGGATTTGCTCCAATAGCCCTAGGGAAAACAGACAAATGAAAAGGGAATAAAGTTTTAAAAACGAAACCTAGGAAACTGAGGGCAGCAAAAAACCTTTCCAACCATATACCATCCCCCATATGGGACCAAAACACATGAAGGTGTCTGGATTTGGGTTTTAAAATAAGAGAGGGTGTGAAATTCAGAAGTAAACTTGGTCAGAATCCTAGCTATTTTTAGCTGCATTATTGTGAGCTAATACTAATGAGTTCTGTACCATCTTTAGTATGCAATGGCCAAGTTCAGCTGCATCCATAGAACAGAACTGATACTGGGAAATTACGTTAGCAAGAATAAAGTATTTCCTCTGGTGTGGCAAAGGCAACCCCACAGACTTCCACCCATATGTTTTTCTTTTTCAGTTCATTGCTAGCAGGCTGGTACAAACTATTTGCTTTCAAGATTTCAAATTCCAATTTAAATTTTTCCTCTTTGGAGTTCTCCCACCGAACTCACAGCTATGTTCAGCAATTCTGTAAAAGGTCACTGCTAAATAGGTAAATAAAACTACGTTAGCCTAACTTTGTAGTACTTATATCAGCATTGCCCAATTATGAAAGCAAATCCATTTCTTTAAATAAATCTGGTCTGTTTTTATTTAAAAATAATTTATCTAGAGATTGTTAGAACTAATTTCTGTAGAGACTTTTTAAAATGTCTTTCTTTTTTCTCCTAGAAATTATAAATACTCTTACTACTCGGGGAATAATGATATCCTGTGCAGTTAATACGGTAGATACAAGCATTGTGTTACTCTGTAAACATGTAGTATCCACATTCCTTTTAAGAAATACAATAATCATCGAACCGTTAACAGATAACCTTGCCATGTGCACAAATTGTAAAGAGGCAGCATTAGAACCACCTCTTTCTCCAGACGTTTTGTCTTTTTTTTTTTTTTTTTTTTTGCTTTCAGATTGCTCTACATCTAATTTCAGATCAGTGGGTCTTCTAGAGATGCAAGAAAATGCTTGGAAAGCAAAGGCAGCAGAAAATCTACAACTGCAGAAACACTTTTCTGCCACACTGAGCAGCAAGCTCTCTCTTTAATTATTGCTACAGACTTCCAGCCGAACACAAGAAATGATATACACTTGTTCAGTCAGGCTTAACACAGAGCAGTAACAAAAATCAAACCTCATGTTATGGGACTTCCTACGGAAAGAGAAATAACTACAATTTGTCTAGTCCATATTTGCAAGAGTGAACGTCCGGCTGAACTGAAAAAAGGCATTTGCGCTGCTAAAATCAGAATGTTAGCAAGGATAGCTTGCTAGGCAATAAAAAAAGATACAGCAACAATAGGAAAGAACATATATTTGAATGGAGAATGTAGTCTCCTTTGGTAGCACATGTTTTTACCATGCTCCCAAAAGTATATAGCAGAAGTTGCTGGTAGCTGACACCTTGCATTCAAGAAAGTAAAACCAGAAACTGAGAGGATCAAAGTGTTATTCTTTTAAAGCATCCACTCAGATATTTCATTTGGCATAGACATGAGTTTCTTTCCTTTTATATAGCTTCCACCCTCCTCTTTTAAATCTATGCAAGTTTTACTGATATTTCATGCAGATGGGCTAGTTTGATAGAAGCATCTGAATGACTAATAATGAATTATAATGAATAAAACAATGACTTAAAGTTTAATCGGCATCATCAAATTTCTGAGAAACAGCACATGGAATACAAATGTCCAACGATAAGTCAATCCACTCCTCAGCTGCAAGCAAAGATTTAATACCTATCCATATACTAAGAGAGGCCCATTGCTCTAATCGCAATTCCCACTGAAAACTAAAAGCAGAAAAAAAATATTGCTTCAAATGGTACTTTGGTATGAGAATCAACTTATTCAACGCCAACTTAACAGACACCCTGCACAAAGCAGGGCAAATGTTGCAGCCAGATCCAGTTGCGCCTATGCACCTTGCTGGCCCCCCTGCTGGACTTGTGCTGATTCATACAGATCTGTCTTGTACTGGGGAAACTGGACACACACTCCAGATGTGGTCTCAGGAGCGATCATTTCCCTCCATCAGCCAGTTGTTCTCATGCTAATCCAGCCCAGAGAGCATTTAGCCTTCATTGCCATAAGTGTACACAGCCAACTCATGTCCAGTTTGCTGTCCACCGGGATTCCCAGGGATTTTCTGCTGAGCTAGCTAGCCAGTCCCCAACCTGTACGGACGCATGGGGTGGTTCCACAGCATTTGCCTTTGTTGAACTCTATGAAATTCGTTAAACATGAATAAAGTGGGAAAAAAAAGGTCATCATCCAAATACTTACAGGTGTGATAACGCTGAAAGATCATTAAAAGCTCCTTCAGGAACAACAGAAATATCATTACCATGTAAAGACCTTAAAAAGAAAATAAGGGACATTTATGTCACCCTGAAATACAATATGTTTATTTTAATAGTAATTAGAAATGTATAAAACTCAGCAATTTAACATAGCTAATTTCAGCTTCTGTAAACATTTTCGAGCTTTTTGCATTTTTTTGAAAGTGTAAACAATTTCCAGTTTGTTTCCTTTGTTCCCTCTTTTTTTTTTGCTTGCTTGTCTTACTCTAATCGGCTGCCTAGTCATCACTCAATTTTTTTATGCTATATTTTCATTAGAAATGCTAATAATATGACTCTTTTTACATTGAAAGAATAAAGGCTGGTCAAAGTAAGTACACTTCTGCAAGTACTGACTGGATTTAGGCACGGCTGAAGAGTTAGAATAATTATTTGTGAACTTTTCAGCAATCCCCTTGAACTCCCATTAATTATGTTTATGCACTTTTTATCTTTCATGGAATAGTGGAAAATACATACATTGACTATTCATGAAAATAAATATTAAGGTTATTGTACTCATATGATATTAAAATGAAAGAATTTAAGTCTTTATTAAGCCTTAATGCCAGGGCTAGTGCTGCCTTTCCTGCAGCAAACCTACATGAAAATTTATCCCATTTGCTGTGAATTCATTCATTCACACAGATATCTAACGTATATACTTACAGTTAAGACTTGATATTACCCATATTTATTCAAAATAAGAAACAAGCACATAACAGCTGCTTGAAGTTACATGAACACATTAAAATGACACCATGCCTGAAACATTTAATCCAGCTAAGCTATTAAATGGTTAAAAATGACCTGAACGGAGATAAAAATTACATATGTAAGTAGAGACTTTGAGGAAGGATTTTTCCAGGATTATTATTATTTTCTTTTATGACTGACTGAAGCTATAAACTAGATCTGCCTGCTCCTTATTTTCCTTTGTCTCTTTCTGCTGTTCCCCCACCCCCATTCCCACCTCTCCTCAACTATATTTTCCCTAGTGGTAAAATGGAAAGTTTTCTTGGAACCCAAAAAACTCTTTTATTGGCTTTCAATAGTTCATCACGATCCAATTGGTATGGAAAAGCTCCCGGGTTAAATGAAACTACAAAGTAAGAAATTTACTAGTGGGACAAAATCATTCAAAATTCTACTGCAAAAAAACCCCCTCATTTACCTTGTTCTGTTGCATAGGACATGCTTGTTAGACGTGCGTGAATATAATAAGAAAGAACTTAATGTACAAAAAATGCAATCATGATTAAAAAGCAGAGAAAAAAAAGGTGTATGTCTTTGTAATGATATGTTGTCCGGGCTTATATAACGTTCTGTGCAGCATATTGATTGCATACTTCCCCAGAATGAAATCACTTAGCTTTTAAGGATACGTAATTATCACTTCTCAAATACTTGACAGGCTTTAAAATCTAGTAGTTTCCTACAGGTCTGCTATCTGCTACACACAAATAAAAACTCTATAAAATAGTCACGGTTAAATAATACTTACAACAACCTAAGTGATTTCAAGCCATCAAAAGTCCGTGCAGGGATACACCTCAGGCGGTTGTAACTAAGAATTCTGAAAACATACAAAATACTGTAAGCAAGTAAATCAGCCATTCGGTAACTAGACTGCAGCGCATGACCAAATACAGCTCTTGCACACATAGCCAGTTAGGAAACAAGTTATTTTACAGCCTCCAAAACAAGCAAGCTTTAATACCAGCTAAATGCCCTTTCTTTCCAAGACAAAAAACACTGTATGCTTTCAAACAGTTACTGTTACATGTTTAAACTTACAAGGTGAGCAGCTGAGTCATGTTGCTGAAGCTCTGATTAGAAAGAGTGCTGATTCTGTTGTTACTTAAATCTCTATAAAAAATAAATTCAGAAATTCAGATCTTACAACAACTGCCGCAGTCCTGAAATACTGTACGTTAAACTGACACAACATATTATTTTTATTAGTAGAAGCAGTATCATCACTGGTGTCAACACTGAGAGTAGCACTTATTTTTATTTTCACATGCCATATACAAGCCCAGCGAGCGTTTAGCTTGATCAATGAAAAGCATTTTCATTTCAACACATATGAAAAAAGCAGTGCAGTGCATTCTTATGCGACAGCAGTGTCCATCATGCTACTGCGTTAATAATGCAATCCTATATGAACCCAAGTGTAGAAATTAAAGTGATGTTTTAAAGTGGAAATCATTCTAGTCATGTTCCTAATGACACCTGAGTAAGTACTATCTAATACTCTACTTAGCACTTACAAGCTGAAGACATCAAAGCCCAGAGCTATTATTATAAAGAATACTATCTAAGATTTATAGAAAAAGCCTTAACATCTTCCCTGCTGTTCAATATTCTAATGAATAAAAACTTAAGTGTAAGGATGATGGAAGCTGGAGTGGTGTGCTGGTAGCCTCAAAGAACTTTGAAGAAGCTGTTGTAATGTGAATTATGCTTGTTCTTTTTTTACTTATTGCATTTAAGTTTTCATTTTATGCTGCCTATTTCACTCTTGCTTATTGTATTCTGCGATGAACCACAGCATTTGTTTCTGAGAGGACCTTAATATTTTAACTTAAAATGCTATTGAATTGCTATGCGGTATACATATCTCTTTCCC